TTTTAGGAACCGCTGTTGTAAATCAATATGGGTAATATACCAAAGAAATACAAATAAAAAAAATCGAAATGGTGATATTTTTTCCAGGGGATTTTGTATTTATCTTTGATTAATTTTTATTTAGTTTATTTTGGTTTATTTTAATATTTTGATTTATTATATAAGAATCAGGCTCTTTTCTTTTCACACCCCCCCGTTTTCTTCGTTCTCCCAACAGTTGTTCAGTCGCATCTCATCTCTTCCAAGCGTAACTCGTTTCTGAGTTTTCGCTCCACCATATTATATAACGTCCGAACATTTGCAAAAAAATTTTTTAATTCATTTGTCTTATCACATATCCTAACGCTTCACGTTTGATATGTATACTTTTTTAATGTTTGTGCTTTTCCGAATTATCGTACGCTTCTTTTGACTGTAAGTTATTAAATATTTATATGCCTGCAATATTTTAATGTGTGTTTTTTTGTATTTTTATAATATATAGCTTGTCGCTGATGATGGGATAATGTTCCCGAAACCGGTACGACAGTAAATTTAATTAAACTAAGCAAGTAAGAAGTTTTTCTTTGTTTTATTTATATATTTCACACTTGCAACATGGAACAAAATCATTTTTAAATGTTCTGTTATAAACCCAAAAAGTTACATTGCTTCATTTCAAATAGTTTTGGTCAAAAAACTTCTGACTTCATTTTTAAACGAGATTTTGAATTTAAATTTTCCATTTTAGTTAGAATAACATAATGAATTTTGAATACAAATACTACTGACAAGACACAAAACTGCACTATCCCATAGTTGGAATTCCCCGATCGATAATCCCCGAGGACCCCATTACAAAACGGAAACCTACTCCGTCGTTTTATCCTAAGAAAATATCGGACGTTGTTCTGGGATTCTGGGAGGGATTGTTTGTCACGAACTCAAACTGCATTTGGGAGGAACGTTTTCCACCAGAAAAGACGACATGTTTTCGTCCCTTTCCACAGTTCTAAAACTTTTTCTACCCGATCAAACAAAAAATTCCTTTTAATCAACATATTTAATACATCAAGAACTAGTAACTTGGTTATAAAATCATTAAGAGGAAATCACGAATACGTCAATTTCGATATGGTGTGGTTGCATTTCCTGTTTGAAATTGAATATTAACTGACTATTAAGATCGCACAACAAGAATTATTAATGTTTATTTGGAACTAATCTAAATATTGAAAAAAAAGTATTCTATTATTTTTTTATTGTATCAACCAGATATAGATAATGTTCACATCGTAATAATCGATGCGTGTTTTGTATAGATAACGTTAAATTATCATCCAGACATATCGAAATGTGGGCTATTGAGTTCTGTTTACGAGAACTCGAACCCTTGTTATATCGATTTTCATTTTATAGATTACCCTAGATTTCAACCTAGGCCCCGAATAGATACCGTTCTATTTAACATACGGCAACCTCGAGGTTCGCTTAATAATTCCAGGATTCTCGGCTACCCACAAGCCTTTTTGACAAGAATGCATCACGTGCATGCATAAGAAATGAACATCAAAATGATCGAGTGGATTACTTCTTCTTCAAAAATTCTAAAAGATATTGATTGATGCGATTTTATACACTTTTAAATTTATTTACGAACATTTAAATCGCGTTCAATGAAGTCGCTTTTCGTACATGTTAAAGTTATCGATTGAGCGTCTTCTTTGGCGTCGCGTTTCCGGTGTAAATACGTGCTAGTTAAGGGGAAGGAAACGGGAAATTAGATTTTCAGAAAGTTTTCAATATCAAACGATTTAATCAAGGAATGTCACTTTGATTGGTGTTATTGATAAATTTATGAAAACGATTTCTTTCAATACAGTGAATTTCACTTGAGATGCAATATACTAAAATATATTACCATAGAAACCAGGGCGTACCTATTTACTTTGTGCTACATAAAATGTTAATATAATTTGAAATTACTGTAAAACCTCGATATAACAGATTAATATGTGGAAGGCGGTATTCGTTATATCCATTGAGGTCTTATATATAATCTAGAGTGCGTATGCTGTTAGATTATGCTATTATGCTGCCATGTTAGATGTGTACAAATTTAGCGCGAAATTCGAAATTCTTATATACAGGGTGAGTTATTAGTATCCCGGCGATTGATAGTTACTAAATCGTTTGAAACACAACAACGTTATTATAATTTTACGTTCTATTACGTAAAATTATTTTCACTTATACAGAGTGTTCCATTTAAATAAATTTACGTACTCTCCGATACGCTTAAATGGAACATCCTGTATATCTTATCATATTATGAATACAACTAAATTTGCTTATACAACCATATATGTTACTATTTCACAGCGTTCATAGTTCCTGAGATATTCAATTGTTTTTTTTAAAATGTGCTCATTACAGAATCTTTTTAAAAACGATGTAAAAACGACATTTTTTCCGATTTTGCCTTGAAACTACGTCAGACAATAGTCAAAGCCATTAGATGGATGATGGTATTCAAAGATATTAGATACACTATACAGGTTGTTTATAAAGTTTAGTTACTTTTGATGTTTTTCAAATGGCTTTTTCTTAAGTTTTTTAAATGGAACACCCTGTATATTGTGTGCTAGTTGAATTGTTCATCAAGTTCCCTTTAATTAATGATAAGTATGTCATATGTCTAACTTTAATAGTTTTCCTGATATTTAGAATTTAAAGAAAAATGTGTAATAAAATGTCATTATTGTACTTAAAAAAATGACCGAATATAATATATTCTGTCCTTTTTTGTCACCTTTTTTTGTTTGTCTGTCATTTATAAATCAGTAATATTATATTAACCCTTTGTGTCCCGATGGTACTTTAAAGTACCGGTACTTTTAAACACTCATTTTAAACTGTAGTCATCTATTCGGCGCATTTAGAGTTGTCGGTACTTTCTACTATACAAGAAAGAATCTGTATAAAAAACGACGCAATCCGCACTGTAGGGTTTTTAGGTATATTTAAACTTATTCATACAGATGTGAGGTTAGAAGTTTAGTGAAAAGTGGTGTTGTTGAATTTTGTTGTTCAAAAAGGTATCTCTTTGATAAATGGTTATTAGGTTATTACAGATCATTTTAAAAAGAAAACACTGAGCTTTAATTTAAAATAAGTGTCATTCCTTAATTTCAATAAACACGGCTTCCAGAAATTTTTAAATTAGCATCTCTTTTGTCACTCTTAGGTTATACGAAAATGTAAGTTTTATTTCAACTTTTTTTTTCTCAATATTTTTCCAATCCAACCCGACGATTATTATATATCATTCTAAAGAAAAAGCTTTGAGCTTTAATTTAGAATAAGTTTCATTCCTTAATTTCAATAAACACAGCTTCCAGGAATTTTTAAATTAGCATCTTTTTTGACATTTTTAGGTTATACGAAAATGTAAGTTTTATTTCAACATTTTTTTTCTCAATATTTTTCCAATCCAACCCAACAATTATTATACATCATTTTAAAGAGAAAGCTTTGAGCTTTAATTTAGAATAAGTCTCATTCCTTAATTTCAATAAATACGGCTTCCAGGAATTTTTAAATTAGCATCTTTTTTGACACTTTTAGGATATACGAAAATTTAAGTTTTATTTCAACTTTTTTTTTCTTAATATTTTTCCAATCCAACCCAACGATTATTATACATCGATTTAAACAGAAAGCTTTAAGCTTCAATTTAAAATTAGTTTCATTTCTTAATTTCAATAAACACGGCTTCCAGAAATTTTTGAATTAGCATTTTTTTTGACACTTATTGTTAGATTATGCGAAAATAGGGGGATTGCACAAAGTTTCAAAATTTTTGACGTCTTGGGACACAAAGGGTTAAAATACAATTAAAAATAAACTTTAATAAATAAATAATCAAAACGTGATAAAAATACAAAAAATACAACTAATGGCCCTAATAAATCCCTTTTTTAATTACTAAATTATTTGAAGGAAATGCAGCAACAAACTATAAACAAGTACTAAACGTTGCTCAACAAGGAGGTATTAATTTAATTAATATTTAGAAGTTGTTCAAAATGCTGCCCATTTTCTCTTCTACAAGCATTAATGCACTGTATAAATGATCTTGAGGTATCTCTTAACATGTGCATCTTATTTTCTCTAAAGTTACCTCTTTTTAAATCTCATAAAGTACCAAGTCGCATTAAAATTTGGTATATGGCAGCAAAATTACTTTACATTATAAAACATTAATCAAATAATAAAAGGAAGAACAAACAAATTGATAAAAATAAACAGAATATAATATTAAGTACAATAACGCATATTTTATTACACATTATTCTTTAAATTCTAAATATCGGCTAAATTACTAAAGTTAGATATATGACATACTTATCATTAATTAAAGGTAACTTGATAGAGAATTCAATCAGCACACAATATACAGGCTGTTCCATTTAAAAAACTTATTAAAAAGGCATTTGAATAAGATCAAAATCATTTATCTAATGTTGTTATTACATCGTTTTTAAAAAGATAAAGGACACATTTTGGAAAAACAATTGAATATCGCAGGAACTAAGAACGCTATGAGTTAGTAACATATACGATTATATAAACAAATTTAACTCTATTCATAATATGATAAAATATACAGCGTGTTCCATTTAAAAAAATCTACATACACTCCATTACGCCTAAATCGAACACCCTGTATAAGTGAAAATAATGTTGTGTCATAGAAAGTGGTGAGTCAAACAACTTTTGTATACAAAATTTTTTTCTTTCTCAAACGGTTTAGTACCTATCGTCCGCCGGGATACTAATAACTCATCCTGTATATACAGTGTGTTTATTAATTATCGTACCCGACGTCATTATTGCAAGTATGCAACCAATATCTCAGTGCAATACGCATCATACGTAAATCGCGTATTGCAATAAAAATACTGTGAAGTGGAGTTGGAGTGACAAAGAAATTGATTTTTTATTTTGTTTGTTTGCAGAGGAGCTTTTTCAGTCGTCAGAAGATGTGTCCAAAAATCAACGGGTTTAGAATTTGCAGCCAAAATTATAAATACAAAAAAACTTTCGGCAAGAGGTAAGAATTTGCATTAAATTAATTTTTTATTGTAATAAGATCCGGCTCCTCCACCATTTTGAAGTAGTTTAAATTGATGTTAAAATCGTCTGAGGATTATTTCGCTTCAACAAAATGTTAATCGTCACACCTAAGGTACACTAACAATCAAAAACATCTTTCTATGATCTCAAAAAGACTCATTTTATNCTTTTTTGACACTTTTAGGTTATACGAAAATGTAAGTTTTATTTCAACATTTTTTTTCTCAATATTTTTCCAATGGAACCCAACAATTATTATACATCATTTTAAAGAGAAAGCTTTGAGCTTTAATTCAGAATAAGTTTCATTCCTTAATTTTAATGAATACGACTTCCAGGAACTTTAAAATTAGCATCTTTTTTGACACTTTTAGATTATACGAAAATGTAAGTTTTATTATAACATTCTTTTTTTACATATTTTTCCAATCCAACCCATCAATTATTATACACCATTTTGAAGAGAAATCTTTAAGCTGTAATTTAGAATAAGTCTCATTCCTTAATTTCAATAAATACGTCTCCCAGGAACTTTTAAATTAGCATCTTTTTTTACACTTTTAGGTTATATGAAAATGTAAGTTTTGTTTCAAAATTTTTTTTGTCAATATTTTTCCAATCCAACCCAACAATTATTATACATCATTTTAAAGAGAAATCTTTGAGCTGTAATTTAGAATAAGTCTCATTCCTTAATTTCAATAAATACGTCTTCCAGGAACTTTTAAATTAGCATCTTTTTTTACACTTTTAGGTTATATGAAAATGTAAGTTTTGTTTCAACATTTTTTTTGTCAATATTTTTCCAACNAATTATAAATACAAAAAAACTTTCGGCAAGAGGTAAGAATTTGCATTAAATTAATTTTTTATTGTAATAAGATCCGGCTCCTCCACCATTTTTGAAGTAGTTTAAATTGATGTTAAAATCGTCTGAGGATTATTTCGCTTCAACAAAATGTTAATCGTCACACCTAAGGTACACTAACAATCAAAAACATCTTTCTATGATCTCAAAAAGACTCATTTTATTTTCATAAAACGTCACATTCATACTGGGTATTTATAAAATTTTCTTTAAAAGAAAGTCTTGCCTTCCTTTTCTTGCCGCTTCTCGCATCCCAACCGCCAACGGTCCTTATCATTCCAATCATCTTCACGCAGTCTTCTCCTCTTCATCTCCTTATTGCTATCCTGGATCCATTTTTTTGCACCCAGTTCCAAACCTTAAGTGGTATTCTCTCTTTACTCATTCGGCGTAGATGTCCATACCATTTTAGTTGCTTTTCATTTCTTCTTATTTCCTCATTTTCAACTTGGTGCAACATGGTTATGCCTCGGCATCTTCTCCAAAATATCATCTCCACTGCTAGCAACCTTCGAGTTGTGTCTTTGTCTCTCACCCACACTTTTAACCCATACGTCATTAATGGTTCTATGTAGCCCTAAAAATATTTTTCTTTGTTTGTATCGTTAGGTTGTTATTCCACAGAATCGAATGCATTGCCTTTATCGCTTTTTTCCTCATTACATCTTTATTGACCTTTCCGTCTTCGTTTATAACTACCCCAAGGTATTCCTACTGGTATATATTGTTTATTATGCCGGTCTTTAATTGTATGTCTTTTCCCGTTCTTTCAATTACCATATATTGGGTCTTATCTTTGTTCATTTCCAAGCCCCATTGATTGTGTTTTTCTTCTAGTTTATTTAGTTTTCAATTAGTTTTCTGCAAAAACTAATTGTTCGTACACGAACACCATGGTGTGTATTAGTGATGGAACGGATAGTGATTTTGCGAAAAGCCGTATACCGAATATTCGGCACCCCCTTCGGCCGGATATCCGGTTATCCGACATATCTATCCGGCCATTATGGTTATAATTTCTGGTGCATTTCTGAAGTGATACCCTATATTGCCACATTATTGCGATATTTGAATAAAAATTAANTTTCAATAAATACGTCTTCCAGGAACTTTTAAATTAGCATCTTTTTTTACACTTTTAGGTTATATGAAAATGTAAGTTTTGTTTCAACATTTTTTTTGTCAATATTTTTCCAATCCAACCCGACGATTATTATATATCATTCTAAAACGAAAGCTTTGAGCTTTAATTTAGAATAAGTCTCATCATTTCTCCTCATTCTAGTCTTGAGAGACGTGCGGCTAAATCCGAATGTATCTAGTTCTAGGTCTAGTCTCTTTACAAAACTACCCAATGCCTGTACTATTAAGATATGTTGCGTTTTATGTGAGACAATACAAGTGTACAGTAGTTTCGTAACTATGGTTACTGTATTCATATATTGTGAGTTATATGAAATTCCGGGTAATTTGTTAATATGTTAGAGTGACACAGAAATTGATTTTTTATTTTCTTTGTTTGCAGAGGAGCTTTTTCAGTCGTCAGAAGATGTGTCCAAAAATCAACGGGTTTAGAATTTGCAGCCAAAATTATAAATACAAAAAAACTTTCGGCAAGAGGTAAGAATTTGCATTAAATTAATTTTTTGTTGTAATAAGATCCGGCTCCTCCACCATTTTGAAGTAGTTTAAATTGATGTTAAAATCGTCTGAGTATGCCGCAGCATCTTTTCCAAAATATAATCTCCACTGCTAGCAACCTTCGAGTTGTATTTTTGTTTCTCACCCACACTTCTAACCCATACGTCATCAATGGTTCTACGTGGTCCTAAAATTATTTTTCTTTGACAATAAAGATGTAATGAGGAAAAAAGCGATAAAGGCAATGTATTCGATTCTATGGAATTACAACCTAACGATACAAACAAAGACAAATATTTTTAGGGCCACATATGGTTCTATGTGGTAATTGGAATTTTATAGCGAATTTTACAAGTTATCGATGAAAATTGCAACATCGAAAATTTTATCAAAACTTCAAATATTGATTTCTTAAAAACTAAAAGTTTTTTTCAAAACGGGTTGATTCATTGGAAAGAGGACACTTTTATTAATACTTTGGGAAATTTTCATACTCATATTCCAAGAAATCGATTTTATATGAATTATTAAAATTTAATCGGCGAAAATTGCAAAAATTCGAAAAAAATGTCGGTTACTTCAAAAATTTATTTCTCAAGAACTGAGTGTGATTTTTCAAAACGCTTTTTTGCATTAAAAAGAGGATACTTTAGTTAATAATTGGTAATATTTCCACAATAATTCTTCAAGAAATAAATTTTATAGCGAATTTTGAATATTATCGATGAAAATGGCAACATCGAAAATTTTATCAAAACTTCAAATATTGTTTTCTCAAAAACTAAAAGTTATTTTTCAAAACGGGTTGNAAGCCGGATACCGAATATTCGGCACCCCCTTCGGCCGGATATCCGGTTATCCGACATATCTATCCGGCCATTATGGTTATAATTTCTGGTGCATTTCTGAAGTGATACCCTATATTGCCACATTATTGCGATATTTGAATAAAAATTAAATTAATACGAAAGCTCATAAGCTATGTCAACTTATTTGGATCCAAGATACAAAATGAATTTTTTCGATACTGATTTATCTAACGAAGCAACTCCAAAAAGAGGATACTTTAATTAATAATTGATAATATTTCCACAAGGATCATTCAACAAATTAATTTTATAGCGAATTTTGAAAATTATCGATGAAAATTGCAACATCGAAAATTTTATCAAAATTTCAAATATTGTTTTCTCAAAAACTAACAACTGTTTTTCAAAACGGGTTGGTTCATCGGAAAGAAGACACTTTTATTAACACTTTGGGAAATTTTCATAGTCATATTCCAAGGACTGGATTTTATACGAATTTTTAAAACTTAATCGGTGAAAATTGCAAAATTCGACAAATTTGTCGATCATTTCAAAAATTTATTTCTCGAAAACTAAAAGAGATTTTTCAAAACGGCTTGTTGCATTAAAAAGGGGATACTTTAATTAATAATTGGTGATATTTCCACAAAGATCCTTCAAGAAATGAATTTTATAGCGAATTTTACAAGTTATTGATGAAAATTGCAACATCGAAAATTTTATCAGAACTTCAAATATTGTTTTCTCAAAAACTAAAAGTTATTTTTCAAAACGGGTTGGTTCATCGGAAAGAAGACACTTTTATTAACACTTTGGGAAATTTTCATAGTCATATTCCAAGAAATCGATTTTATACGAATTTTTAAAACTTAATCGGCGAAAATTGCAAAATTCAAAAAAATTGTCGACTATTTCAAAAATTTATTTCTCAAGAACTAAAAGTGATTTTTCAAAACTGGTTTTTGCATTAAAAAGAGGATACTTTAATTAATAATTGGTGATATTTCCACAAGGATCCTTCAAGAAATTTATTTTATAGCGAATTTTGAAAATTATCGCTGAAAATTGCAATATCGAAAATTTTATCAAAACTACAAACATTATTTTCTCAAAAACGAAAAGGTATTTTTCAAAATGGGTTGGTTCATTGGAAAGAAGACACTTTTATTAACACATTGGGAAATTTTCATGCTCATATTCCAAGAAATCGATTTTATACAAATTTTTAAAACTTAATCGGTGAAAATTGCAAAATTCGACAAACTTGTCGATCATTTCAAAAAATTTTCTCGAAAACTAAAAAAGATTTTTCAAAACGGCTTGTTGCATTAAAAAGAGGATACTTTAATTAATAATTGATGATATTTCCACAAGGATCATTCAAGAAATTAATTTTATAGCGAATTTTGAAAATTATCGATGAAAATTGCAACATCGAAAATTTTATCAGAACTTCAAATATTGTTTNGGACACTTTTATTAACACTTTGGGATAAATAATCTTGTATAAAGTCAAGACGGTTTTATTTTTCTGCTTTAATTATTACGGAGAAATGTATGTTTTTATTTCAGCTTATTTTCTCAAACTGTCAAATCGAAGGGTGTGATTTTTAATAGTTATTTATTGTGTAATTGTTTTAGACGGCATTTTATTTACGC